CCAACATCTAAAGAGTTAAGAGGATTAGGATGGATTTAAGCATCTATAACCTCTATGTCGTCACTTCTCTAAATTACCAGGGCAGATTCTTTTTTTAAATTTCATTTTTACGTTTCTTTCCAATTATAATCCGGGATTAAGCAGGCTGGTTAATGAAACCTGGTTCTGTCTGTTTGTTGTAAGATGTTTGCCACGTTGGCCCGGTTGTGTAGCAAAAGAAACATCAGACATTTTTACACATTACCAAAATGTTACCTGATCAAACTTCTTCTGCTTCTTCTCCAGGTTCGACACAACCTGCCTCAGGTTATCTTGGTCCACCAGGAGGTCGTCCAGCTCCTGCTGCAGACGAGTTTTTGTCTTGTCCAGTTTGTCGTAGGCAGCCGTCTTCTCCTCCAGCTGCAGCACCTTGCTCTCCAGCTCCCGCTGAACCTTCTTGCGACCCTCCTCTGCCCCCTCCAGTGACGAGGATTCATGTTCAACTTTCTTCTTCATTTCTGCCAACTGAAGGAAGGACACGGAGTGGGACAGAGAAGATGAAGTGATGTGTGGACAGGCTGCAAGTTGTGTAGGGCTTGAGTTGATAGAGATTAAGGACTTGACACTTTGGTAAATGTTAATTATCCTTTTTCAATAGTTTTAATGTTAATTTTTAGATTCATTCAATGTTTTATTAAAAGGAGGTGGCTATTTGTACAAAAGGCATTTTTATTTTTATCCATTTAGTATTACTAGTTGTTGGGTAAAACTGAAAACGCACACTAAACCATTCTTGAGATAAATTACAATCTGTGTAATATATTTTACCAAGATATTCTGCATAGGTTTGACTTTTACAAGCAGAGCGTGGAGCTGGATCAGTGCTATACCATGAAAACGGTACTAGTTCAAGGTTGGAGCCTGGTGGAACAACTGTGGCTCAACCTTTTGGGAGTGGGGGTGTGGTGGAATGTGAGATATTCATTTGTCAGGTTGAAACTTTGTCTAGGAGCACAAATCTCAACAGAGCAGCTCAAGTCATCAGTCAGGAAACGCAGACGGAGGACTGGCCATGGCCTAATCCTCTTTCTCGTGGGTATTAGAAAGCTTGTTCACAAGAGAAAAGAGGAAAGGGATTTTTAAAAGTAAAGCCGGCAAAGTACCGACATCAGCCCAGTGAGGCCAGTGCTGCAAATATGCAACTCTGTGTCCTGGTGTGTCCTTGTGTGTGTCCTTGTGTGTGTGTGTGTCCTTGTGTGTGTCTGTGTGTGTGTGTGTCCTTGTGTGTGTGTGTGTCCGTGTGTCCTTGTGTGTGTCTGTGTGTGTGTGTCCGTGTGTGCCCGTGTGTGTGTGTGTGTGTGTGTGTGTGTGTGTCCGTGTGTGTGTCCTTGTGTGTGTCCTTGTGTCCTTGTGTGTGTGTGTCTGTGTGTGTGTGTGTGTGTATGTCCGTGTATGTGTGTCCGTGTGTGTGTGTCCGTGTGTGCCCGTGTGTGTGTGAGTGTGTGTGTCCGTGTGTGTGTGTGTGTGTGTCCTTGTGTGTGTCCTTGTGTCCGTCCGTGTGTGTGTGTGTCCGTATCCGTGTGTGTGTGTGTGTCCGTATCCGTGTGTGTGTGTGTGTCCGTGTGTGTGTGTGTCCGTGTGTGTGTCCGTATCCGTGTGTGTGTGTGTCCGTGTCCGTGTGTGTCCGTGTGTGTGTGTGTCCGTGTGTGTGTGTCCGTGTGTGTGTGTCCGTGTGTGTGTGTCCGTGTGTGTGTGTTTCCGTGTGTGTGTGTGTCCGTGTGTGTGTGTGTGTCCGTGTGTGTCCGTGTGTGTGTCCGTGTGTCCGTGTGTGTGTGTCCTTGTGTGTGTCCGTGTGTGTGTGTGTGTGTGTGTGTCCGCGTGTGTGTGTGTCCGTGTGTGTCCGTGTGTGTGTGTGTGTGTGTGTGTGTGTGTGTGTGTGTCCGTGTGTGTGTGTGTCCGTGTGTGTGTGTGTGTGTCCGTGTGTGTGTGTCCGTGTGTGTGTGTCCATGTGTCCGTGTGTGTGTGTCCTTGTGTGTGTCTGTGTGTGTGTGTGTGTGTGTGTGTCCGCGTGTGTGTGTGTCCGTGTGTCCGTGTGTGTGTGTCCTTGTGTGTGTCCGTGTGTGTGTGTGTGTGTGTCCGCGTGTGTGTGTGTCCGTGTGTCCGTGTGTGTGTGTCCTTGTGTGTGTCCGTGTGTGTGTGTGTGTGTCCGCGTGTGTGTGTGTCCGCGTGTGTGTGTGTCCGTGTGTGTCCGTGTGTGTGTGTGTGTGTGTGTGTGTGTGTGTGTGTGTGTGTGTGTGTGTAGCTAGCTGGTAGTGTTCAGTGCCCCAACTCCGCACATGATAAACCAGGAAAATGACTTTTCCACATGGAGGTGATGGAGCTGACCATCAGAGTTATGAGCTCCGTCTGCAGACTCATATGCTAATGTTGGCAGTCGCTGAAGCTTTTGGGATAACTTTGTGACGCAGTGCCTAACCTGTGTATATATGTGCTGAGGATGTCCATCCTCGGTGCATTACCCTCGTTACACCCAGCCCGTCATGGTTGCTGTAACTGAAAAGGAGCTTCTGCACAGAGGAGCATTCCCCAACGTGAGATGCTGATGATGCTTAAAAGGGAACCAGAATGCAGCCCTACTTCAACACCTGCTCTCCCTTCTCCAGCTCGTCTGCTGTGCCGCTAAAATATGCAGGCTGTGAATCCCCACCTCAGATTGAGATGTTTCGGTAAGCTTTTACTAGCATTTGCACGTTGGCGACATGCAAAAGGAAGTGGAGGTGTGACACTGTGGCCTGACCTGAGCCTGCAGAGTGGAAATCTGCTTCTCCATGTTCTTCTTGCCCTCCTCCTCTTCCTCCAGCACCTCGCGCAGGTTGCTCTGCTCCTCCTCCAGCTGTTTCAGGCGGGTGGACAGAGAAAGCTTCTGACGGGTTTCCTCCTGGAGCAGCGCCTGGAGTTCAGTGAAGTAAAACAGCAACATGGCACAGTCTGAATCTTCAGATATACAAACTCGGCGGCTTTATCGTTTCTGTTCCTTTAGCACTTGTTGTGAAAGTCTAGCAGCATCTACCCAAAGATGCTGTTGGGTCGGAAGAGCTCCAGACTGGTGAGTAGATGCAAAAATGGGAAGTTTTCATATTTTCTTTACTTCCCAGCATTTTGCTCATCAATCCAGTTAGATTAATGGACATTCCTAATCTGATGTAACTTCAGATGACCAAACGTCAGACCTTCCGAAGGTCCCTCAGGTTTCGTGCGTTTATACCTGCGTGTCCTGCAGCTGAGACTCCACAGAAGACAGGTCTTTGCTGGACTTGATGTTTTTGCCCTCCGCTTGACTCAGCAGGCTGCTGGCATTGTCCAGCTCCGCCTGGTTGGTTTAGAGAAACGATTCATTAGTCTTCTTTCTCTCTGCGTGACGCTGCAGCGGTCACCACGCCCCTCGTTCGTACCTGCATCTTGGTCAGCTTGTCAGCGAGCTCGTGCTTCTGTCGTTCGCTTTCTCCAAATTTGACCTGCAGCTCCTGAACCTGGGCCTCGGCCTTTTTGCGCCGGTTTTCAGACTCTCCTTTGCTTTGCGTCAAAGACTTGACCTCGATCTGCAGCTCATTCTTCTCGCTCTCCAGGGCCTGCTTGGCTTTCTCCACAGACACCTTGTTCTGCAGAGGGAACACGGTGGACATTAGCGGGGCGTTTGATGGCAGCCTCCTCCTGCCGGTGCAGCGTTCGTTACCCTTTTGGTCGTCTCCAGCTGCTCGTTGAGCTCTTCGAATGCCTGGTTGTGTTTTTGTCTCATGTCAGACATCTGCTGCTCGTAACCCTTGGCCTCCTCCTCCAGAGTTTTCTTGAGCTGAGAAACCTCGGTCTCACGTTTGGCTCTGGGTGGACAGAACAAGAACGTTAATGATGTTTTGACCTGAACACGTTGGGGAGTGGACTGTACTTGTGTAGATACCTCAGCTCCTGCTGTGCTGCTGTGGAATCCAGCGTGTCCTCCAGCTCCGTCTTGAGGGCCTCCAGTTCCTCTGCGAGATCCCTGCGATGTTTCTCTGCCTTGGCACGCGCACTCCTCTCCATCTCCAGGTCATCCTGGAGCTCAGAGATCTGGGCTTCCAGCTCTCTAATCTTCTTCTGGGCCGCGTTCTTCGCAGCAGCCTCCTCCTCGATCCTGTTGTGACCCAGGTCCCAGTTTAGAGTCCAGCTAATTCACCGCAGACGTATCCATCTGAAACGTTGTCACGCTGGAACAAACCTGGCCAGCGCAGCAAGCAGCTCCTCCTCCTTCTTTGCCAGCTGAGCTCGGAGCTCGGCGATCTGCGCCTGCAGGTCCGCAATCTGGTCGTGGAGCTCCGAGGAGTCGCCCTCCAGTTTTCGGCGGTTCTTCTCCAACTCCTGGCGCATCTTCTCCTCCTTTCTCAGACGCTCTGCACGTGTTCACGTTTTAAAAATTAAACCAATTGCTGAAAAGTTTTTATAGAAGAATAAAATAAAAAGCAATCCAACAACTTGCCCTCCAAGTCCGTGATCATGGTCTCATGTTTATTCTTGAGCTTCTGTAAACTTTTGGACTTTTCTTCCTCCTCGGTTAAGTTGGTGGTGAACTCAGCCAACCTGTCCTCCAGCTGTTTCTTCTCCTGAATTTACAAACGTTCATTTGTTCCATCAAACATCGTTTTCTTGAATTTGTTTCATTCTCTAGTTTAAATTTCTGGTCTTACCTTGTTGAGTTTGCTGTTCTGGTCTTCCAGCACCATGATGTCCTCTTCTTGCTTCTTAAGCTTTGCATCTGTGGTGAGCTTCTCCATCTGCAGCTTCTGTCTCGCCGCTTCCTCCTCGTCCAGCTGCTGCTCCAGCTCCTGGAGGAGAACAGTTCACTTTTAAAACTAATCGTCCAGTTAAAAATACGAATAAATGGAAATTTTCACATTCGGCCATCCTGACTGACCGTGATGTTCTGCTGCATCTTCTTTCTCTCAGTTTGCATCTGACTGACCCTTTCCTCCTCCTCCTCCAAACGAGACTCCAGGTCATGGAGGATCTCCTCCAGCTCCTGCTTCCTCACGGCTAAACGATTCCTCATCTCCTCAGCCTCTGCACAAAGCTCCGTCTCTGCCTGGAGCTGCTCCTGAAGAGCAGACTTCTCTGCGTGTAGCTGTTGAAGCAGAGCCGGTGAGGTCATTTAGTTTAAAAAAAAATCAGAATAAATAAGAATTGATCGAACACGATTCCTCCACTGAGACTCCAACCTGTTTCTGCTTAGCCTCATATTCTTTGAGCTGCTCCTCAGTCTGATTTTGTTTCTCCTTTATATCCATCAACTCTTTCTCTTTAGCAGCCAGATCCTCCTCTTTCCTGTTCACCTCCAGCAGAGGCTTCACCTGAATAAAGGAGAACCAAACATACTTCATTAGAGATGAAATGGCCTCAGTGGGCTTCAATTTGGGCAAAGACTTGAGTAACACACAATGCTATAAGCAAAGCCCTGTTTTTGGCTAGAAAATGGTTAAAAAAAGGGGGGGGGGGGGTGTTAGGAGGAGGGGTTACACAAAAATGTTTAAAAACCAGAGAAATAAGGTTATTTAAGCTGTTTTTTGTTGAGATCTAAACATGGTTTTCAGTGCTTATTGAACAACTTTGCTTATGAATAATTTAAACAAATTCTAATTTGTCGTCCCAAAAGCCAGTTTAGAGGACGGAGGGAGCAGGTGGGTCGGTTCGGCATCTGCGTCACGGCGGAGCTCTCAGTTTACCGGTCGGTCTTTATCCTGGTCCTCACCTCTGGTCATGAGCTTTGGGTAAGGACAGAAAGAACAAATACAAGCAGCTGAAGAGTTTTCTTTGCCAGGTGGCTGGGGTCAGCCTTAGATCAGACATTTGGGACGGACCGAGTAGAGTCTCCGCTCCTCCAAATGGAGAGGAGCTAGCTGAGTTGGTTTGGATATTTGGTGAGATGTCTCCTAGATGCCTCATACAGGGTATCCGCGGGTCCTTAAAAAGTCTTTACAAGTCTTAAATTTGCTTTTTCAAATTTAAGGCCTTAAAAAATCCTTAAAAATGACAAATAATCCTTAAATACAGTTTCCAAAGGTCTTAAATTACCAAAGGCCCAATAAACAAGACTTTTATTTCTATAAAATTTGTGAATTTCTAGTTTGTGTTCAGAATTTTTTGTGTATGATATTTGCATAAGCAGAACCGTACACACATGGACGTAATTTTGGGGGGGACAGGGGGGACATGTCCCCCCCACTTTTTCCAAAGTCAAGTTTTGACCCCTGCACTTTTTACCATCCAAAAACAATATTACGCTAATTTAAATTGACACTGGTTGAGCTCTAGGACCAAGCGGAAAACAACCGTTTGTGTTGAAGCCTGTTTCCCATTAGAGCATCAGGTGAGGACCTTTAAAGCGCCCGAGCGCCAATGGCGCTAAATTTTCTCGTCGGGCGGTAAATACTTGATGACTTACCGCCCGGGTGGCGCCCAAGCCCTGATTGTCATTTACACACCGGCTTTCACCTACATCATGGCCGCGCCCTGTAGGAAGCCGCCGTTTATGTTTCGCGCGAGTGAACCTGCACGCCTCTAGCCACGTACTGCACGATTCTAGTTATAGTCACGTGAACTAAAATTTCACTATTAAAGACGGAGTGGAACCACGCTAGAAACACACAAGCACGCAGGAAGATGGAGCCACCACTGGGCTGGAATTTCTTGATGAAATCTCTGGCAAAACGCTTTAAAACTGGTGAGGAGAAGCGAGACAGTTCGAAACGGTATGAAGCAGAGAAGCGTGTGCGTAGGTGGAATGATTCTTGGCGGTTTAAAGAAGACGGGAGGCGCAATGGCTCGAGTACAGCAAAGCGGAGTTGGTGATGTACTGTGTTGTATGCCGGAAGCAAGGGCGTCAGTTTGTTTTCAGAATTGCTGGGGACAATAGCCATACACTTGAGTGGGACTTAAAAATTGCTGGGGACAATACAGTTGGCTAGCACAGGGGACGGCAACCCGCGGCTCTGGAGCCGCATGCGGCTCCTCCATCCATCTGATGCGCTCTCTGTGCTTGTAAAATAATGAATGGATATTTAAATAAAATGCTTTATATTTTACTGCATTAATTTTACACCTGTATGCCAATTATAAATGTAAAGATTGTCTGCGTAAACCTGAACAGGTCCAACCCGGTCTGTGAGACCGGGTTGACGCGTCACGCTTGTGCGTAATCATGCGCTTCTGAGCTGCTTTCTGACCTTCCCCACCTACAAAGTTTAATTACAACAATCAAACGTGACAGAGCCTGGATTTGTATTCTGAACAGTCTAAACATGTTTTAAAAAGAAACGTATGACAAAAGTGGCACCTGCTCAGTAAAACCACCAACAGGGTGAATATTGAAGGCAGAGACGGGCTACAGCTTCTGGATCCACTTTATTTAATCGTTTTATTGATTATCTTTTTATGAAAGACAACTTTGACGTACACGAGCGACCAGGCGCGTTGCAAGCTTTTCAAAAGTGTGGGGATGTTGTCTGTGCCTAAAATAAGTTCATGTTATTCATCTTGTTATTTTAATTTCCATAATAGCGGAGCAGGTGCGGACTTTAAACACGTCACGCATGTCTCCGTTTAAACATGTTTAAACTGTTCAGAATACAAATCCAGACTCTGTCTCGTTAGATTGGTGTAACTAAAGTTTGTACTGAATGAAACTTTACATTAAACCATGTTGAAAAGAAAAGGATCCGATTAAATCGTTTCCCCCTCATTTACGGTCAGAACAGCGCAGTGCGCGTGGCTCTGGGGTTAATCAGGTTTAGTTGTTTCTCTTTGCAACAATCTTCACAGGAAGGCAAAACAGTTAAATGGCAGGTTACAGATATTTCCATTTGACTGTTTATTTTGACGGATGAACTCAATGATGCTGGTTGATTTCCTCCCACTGAAGCGGTCTGGAAACCCGGTCTCTCTGAGGGATGTGTCACTTGGAAAATGTTATTTTTATGAAATTATGAAAGTTTGGCTGAACAGCGCTTGTTCCCGTCTCCAATATGGAGACA